TGTTGTTGTTGTTGTTGTAAATAAGTTAATTCGCGCTCATCACATTTTTGCTGATCAACCGTTTCAAGCATATGATAATATTTGAATAGCTTTAGAAATGTTGTCGCCGACATTCACAAATGCGTTTATTTTTCACCAATAAAAAAACACCACAAAAAAAAAAAAAAAATAAATGGTTTGAGAGACCCTTCAATAGTACTGCCGCACCTCGAAAAACTCGTTCGTGTTAACTGCTCGGCCACTGTTCGAAGACTGCGCTCTGCGTTGGTTGCGAAATCCCTAATCGCATTGCTGATTTTCCCACGCCGCTAATATTCCAGTCTATCTCACCTCTTTCACAAACAACCACTCCATCATGCTCGCGATTACGCATCAGGCTCAGTCGGTGATAAATGAATTTCTGTATATTCTTTTGATGAAAGTGAAAGTGTTGTTTTTCTACATTAAATAATTGTTAAAGCCTTTTCCACGATTTAATTACAGAAAGGAAGTGAACAGTGCTTACATATAAAAAGCGAAATCCTCTTTCCAGAACTTCAACTAAGTGAAATTGCGATTCAAGCATCTGTACACAGATATAAATAATAATAATAGGATGATCCATTTCGAGGCTCTATACTTAAAAAAAAAAAATCTCAGAAATTTCAAATTTAATGGAGAATGTTTATTATCATTCGAAGAACATACTTTGGCATTTATTTTTTTGAAGATTATCTCTTTCAAATGGTGGTCACGGCTACATTTCAAATGGTCCCTCCGTTGAGTCCAATTTCCGTTGACTCTTTCGAGTATTTCGAGTATTTCGACTGCGCGTCAAAGATGGACGCTAGCCAAGAGAAAATTCGCCATATTCTACAGTATTCGATAAAAGAGAAAACGCAAGCCAGAGACTGTGGTCGATTCCATTCCTCTAATATTGATGCCAAGGATGTATAATCGAACCGTTTTTGCAGTGGATAAAGCTGTTGATGAAAAGAGGGTCCACTTACGACGAAATCAAGTAAAAACTAACCGGGTCGAATTGCGGTGAGCTGGTGCTGTGTGTTTGCTGGGATTGGCAGAGAATAATTTGCTACGAACTTGCTCCCACAAATAGAACTTTTAATTTGGACCTTTACTGTCAGCATCTTTACTGTCAGCAGACGAGTCGTCCGAAGCAAGCACTCGCCCAGAAACGCCCATTAGAAGAGGTATAGTGTTTCATCAGGACAACTTCAGGCCACATACATCGATAGTGTCTCACCAGAAGCTTAAGGAGCTTGGAGCTAGGCACCAAGCGATTACTACTTTTTCTCTCAATAGCGAATGATTTTGCTAGTAAAAATTCGTCTTAAAAGAAGCTTGTGAAATCGTATGTTTCAGTTTTTTTTTGCCAATAGGGACGAGGATTTCCGTTCGAGTGACATTATGAAATTACCTTTAAGGTGTAACAAGTTATCGAACAAATGGTGCGTGTTTGATCAACCTATCTAGTTTTAATAAAACCTTAAATATGATCAAATAATGGTGTTCTTTTTACTCTATAACTTATATTTCTTAAAACCAACTGCTAAATGAGGTGACAGGCTTCTAGCACATAATACAAGTAGAAGTTATGGTTAAGCATCTGGAGTCTCCACGGTATGATACACTAGAGGAGGTATCGATAGTGAGGCTGCAGATCTGCCAAGCGCTGGCATCCTAAATGATGATTACTTCTCTTGGACCCAGGAACTGGCTCCAATCGGAGCCAAGTGCTACTACTACAAGGTTTTGTCAAGGTGACTACAGCAGTAGCTGAAAGAAACTGCTGATTTTTTGCCTTTCAATGGCGCAACATCTAGTTACCCGCGCAGGAAGTGGAAAGTTCTTAAAGATCACACCATACTAAATATTAAGGGTTTTAGACAATTCACAGGCGGTGCTGATTATTGTTCTTTAACTGTATCTTAAGCATATAAGTCCAAAGAGTTTTTGAAAAATTGAAAATAGTTTTGGGAATATTTTTAGAATATTTTTTTTTTGTTTGGGAGGGGTACATCTTCTCTTGCTGAAAATTTTTTTCACTTTTCAAGCACGTGGAACTATTTCACTGTCTATAGGAGTGCATACACAAACATGATTTTATCGTGTACCTTATACCACACAGTTGTTTGCTTATCATCGAAAGCAATTCTAATGGCAATATCGGTAGTAACTTCATATATGCGCTTAACAATTTCTGCATACTATACGCTCACCTGCATCGATTTCCAATCTGGCATGCGCCGTGACTGCTTTTTGCTGGTCCAACTCTGCACTTCACGCTTGCAGCGTGACTGTTCACACTGCTTGGCGGCCTCACGCATTATACGCCAATAAATCAAGAGCATCAGCGACCAAATGATGGCAAAGGCGGGTGTTATGATGCCCGCCATATACCAAATGGGTAGAACCTGATTGAATTCGCATTCGGTCGCCGTTTTAAAACGATTGAAAAACATCGGCACAGTGGCCACCGTAGCGCCTGCGGTCCAATTCAAGGCGATTATGACGAATGAGACGCGACGCGTCATAAAACTACGGAAAATTTTGTGTGAAAAAGTCATGTCAGGTTTTGTGCAAACTATAGACAGCTCTCGTCGGAATCTAATCGTAAACTTACCGCCGATAGTGTAACGCATACACGATTGCTATATACCGATCCACAGCGATCGTGATCAAAGTCAAGATCGAAACGCAACAGGAGAAAATGATGAGAAAAAATCGCAGCAGACAGAGATTTTCCAATTGGCCGAAATTTAGGCCGACATAGAAGGCGATATGTAAGGGAAGCGCCATGCCAACAGTAAAATCCGATACCGCCAACGATAGTATGAACATATTGGAGATTAGGCGGCGCAAGCGGCGACAGGTGGTTATGGCCAGTATGGTGAGCGCGTTGCCAGCTAGTATGCCCACCATTATCAGTACATTGCAGGTGACCCAAAATTTGGTCGAGGCTGCGATGTTGTCGATGATGATGTGGCCAGGCGTTACAGAAGACAGTGTTGCTGCTGTGGAGCTCACTGTTTCTGTAGTTGTTGTTACTGCTAACGCTGTGTTTGCTGTTGTGGTATCTAACAATGTTAACGGCATATTTGCAGTTAATTGCAATTCCATTTCGTTGTTCTCCATTGTCATGTTTGTTTGCTGTTGTTGTTGTTGTTGTTGTTGTAAATAAGTTAATTCGC